GGGCTCAAGCGATCTCCTGCTTCAGCCTCCCAGGTAGCTGGAACTACAGGTGCACGCCACCATGCCTGACTAATTTTTCTATATTTTGTAGAGATGGAGTCTTGCTCTTGCTCAGATTGGTGTTGAACTCCTGACCTCAAGTGATCCTTCCTCCCACAGTACTATGATTATGGGCATGAAGCCACTGGGCCCAGCCTCTTGTGATGTTAAGTAGCTATTGCTGATCAGTACCTAGATCCAGTATTACATTAGAAGTTAGCAAAGTGGTGCTATTCTAAGCCTATCATTCCTTCATTTATTAACTAGAAACCTTCTACAGAAAGAAACTTCCTCTCATCAACCCTTTGGTTATTTTGATATAGTGTTTGTAAAGGAAAGAAAAGATAAGTGCTTAATTTCCCTCCTTTTTCTTAACCACTTTTCAAAGTAATGAATTGGTTTATTGGCATCTTTCAAAGGTGGCCAATGAAATTTTTTATCTTTAATCTTTGTAAACTTGTAGATTTAACATAGTTGATATGTTTTAATACATTGCACTATTATTCTTAGTGATGCTCCAGTTCTCTCAGCTTTGACCAGTAGGATCCTCTTCAGCTTGACTTTTGAATCCTTTTGCTACAACTCCAGTTGTCTTTGGTAGCTTTTGTGCTTTCTTGTATGTCAAGATGTTCCAAGTTCACCTTGTACATTTCCTGCCCCAAGCCTGGAATCAGCCACTTCTCTAAAGAGTCTGGGTTCATTTTAATGGGAAATGGTACTTTAAGACTCTAATTTGGATGCTTGGGGAACTCATTGTGACTGGGCTGATAACTGTTTCTAGGTCTTTTCAGTGGAAAGACCTAGGAAATCTCATCTGTCAACCTCCTAAGTCCTAAATCCCCTCAATTCTACCAAACGATTTATTGAGTTGGTTAATTTTTTTGTCCATTGCTACAAGTATTACCCTAGTCCAAGCTACCCTAGTCTCTTTCAGACTGCTATAGTAGTCTCCTATTTGGTCTGCTTCCTTTCAATGTCATTTCCTAAAGTCAATCTCTACACTGCAGATAGTCTTTATAAATCGTTAAGTCAGATCATGTCACTTTTCTATTTATCCCCTTCTACACTTTCCCCACCCCTGGTATCCCCTGACACCTTCTGTCATCTGGCCTAGGCCTCCCTGTCTTTATCTCACCTCCTTCCCCTTACTCTGCTCTAGGCACATTTGAGGGTGGCTTCTTATTTTTCCTCAAATACTAACCTCATTCCTTTTTCAGCACTTTTGTACTGGCCAGTATGGAATACTCACCAGTGTAGAATTCTTCCTCCAACGTATTCCGTGACTGGCCCATTCATGTCATTCAGGTAGCAGATTTTCCTCCTTTCTCAGCTTTTATCATCTCATTTTATAGTTCTTTATAGAACTTATCACCAGCTAGGGTCAAGTTCATTTATTTGTTTATTTGCCTTCTGCTGGACTGAAAATTCCCTAAGAGCAGGATTACCTGACTTGTTTGCTGCTGTGTCTCTGGCTTCTGCAGTGATATCTGGCTTATAATACATACTTTACAAGTCCTCACTGAATGAATGAGTAACAGCCTTGCAAGTCAATGCAGTTTATTCTTTTTGTACCTTATAAACATAAAGTAGCTTTCTTGGAGCAGGAAAAAAGTTGGAGTACTTTTGTATTTTCATATAATAATGCACTATCAATTAATTCTGTATAGTTGTGTATGGAATATAGAAAGTTGGATAGTGGTAAGTGACTTTGAGGTTATGCTATAAAGTATAAATGTCATGCAGAAAACCTTCAAGTCATCAAACAAATGTTTGTTAAGCTGGGGCCTTAGAACAGCAGATAAAAAATATATATACCATAAACCTGAGCTGTCCATGTGACCATTTAAATCAATAAAAATTAAATAAAGTTTAAAAGTAATGTCCTCAGTAGCATTAGCCACATTTCAAGTGTTCAGTAATCATATGTGGCTAGTGGCAACCATATTGGACAGCATAGATATGGCAATTTCTATAATCACAGAAGGTTCTGTTGGATGGTGCTGCTATAGACAGTTCAACTACTCCTTTCTCACCTTTTTGTTATGTAGAGATGGCCGAATCCTGGCTGCTGGAGGCAAATCAAATCATCTTCATTTGTGGTGCCTGGAGGCTACACAGCTCTTTAGAATTATTCAGATGCCTACTAAAGTTCGAGCCATTCGTCATCTAGAATTTCTTCCTGATAGTTTTGATGCTGGTTCTAATCAGGTTAGTAACATAAGTGTAGGACATTCTACTTTTTGAGAAAAATCACATCCATTTCTGAACTGTATCAGCTTTACTTACTTGACTTACACCCTGTTAACGAGAATTTGAAATTGCAAATATTTTAGTGAAAGAGTCTAGAATTAAAAACAAATTCGAAATCTTATGTTTGTTATATTACTGACAATTTACTCTTTTTATAAAGTCAATATACTTTAAGTTGCGCTTTATGGTTTGCAGGGTGCTTTGGCATGTTATTTTTTATTTGATCCTTAATTCTTTGAGCATAGGCAGGAAAGATATTCTCCCCATTTTACAGATTATAACACTAAACATTGAGCAACTTGTCAATACTCCTGTTAATTGTAAGTATTAAAGATGGGAGTATAACTAAACTTTTCTCATTTTGTTGTACTGTGTTTTATTTGCCATAACTGCCTCATTGCTGTGAAACGTTTTATTCGTAACTTTTCTTAGTTTACAAAGTGCTTTTTCCCCATCCCCCCACCTTAACTTTCTTATTTTTTTGTTTTTATTTTTTTAGATTTTCTTTGTTTTAGAGACAGGGTCTCACTGTGTCACCCAGGCTGAAGTACAGTGGTACAATCATAGCTCACTGCAGCCTCGAGCTCCTGGGCCCAAGTGATCCTTCTGCCTCATTCTCCTGACTAGAAGAGCTACAGGTGTGTGCCACCACACCTGGCTAATTTTTCCATTTTTTGTAGAGACAGGTGTCTTGCTGTGTTGCCCACGCTGGTCTCAAACTCCTGGCCTCAAGCAATCCTCCTGCCTTAGCCTCCCAAAGTGCTGGGATTATAGGCGTGAGCTACCATACCTGGTCCAACATTCTTATTTACAGTTGATTGTCATGGATCTCACACTTTAACAAATTAGATATATATTTTATGTATATATATAATGTGTGTATGTATATATGCATCATATCTATTTTACTTAATTTTTTAATAGGTGATACATTCCCACGGTTGAAAACATAAAACATAAAAAGCATACAGTAGTAAGTCTTTCACTCCTCTCTCCCATTTGTCTAGTTATTCAACTCCTCCCCCATAACCAGTGTTATTGCATATAGTGTTTTTCCCACTATTTTATATAGTGTTTTGCCTTTTATTCTTCCTTAACTTGGAGATTGTTCTATGTATCAGCACAGAACTTCCTTTTTACATCTGCATAGTGGTTTTTTTTTTTTTTTTTTTTGAGACAGAGTCTCACTGTGTTGCCCGGGCTCGAGTGCCGTGGTGTCATCCTAGCCCACAGCAACCTCAAACTCCTGGACTCAAGCAATCCTGCCTCAGCCTCCCGAGTAGCTGGGACTACAGGCATGCACCACCATGCCCGACTAATTTTTTCTATGTATTTTTAGTTGTCCGATTAATTTCTTTCTATTTTTTTTTGGTAGAGATGAGGTCTCGCTCTTGTTCAGGCTGATTTTGAACTCCTGAGCTCAAACAATCCGCCCGCCTCGGCCTCCCAGAGTGCTAGAATTACAGGCGTGCATAGTGTTTCATAGTTTTTTTCAACCAGTCCTCTATTCTTGGGCTCTTAACCTATTTTTAGTCCCTTTCTATTACAAATACCATGCAGTGAATAACTTTTTGCAAATGTCATTTCACATACCCTATTTGTAGGATAAAATCCCAGAGTTGAAATAGTGGCATAAAGGTTATGTGCATCTGTAATTTGGATAGATCTTGACAAATTGACAACCTCCAGAGGGGTTGCAGCAACTACAAATGAGGGGGTTTGTTTCCTACAAGCTGACCAATAAAAGAACATTCTATCGATTGTCACCTCCAAACTGCCTTTTATGGTCTTTTGTATACAAATGACATTGGCATTTCAAGCAATCACATGGTGGCACCACTTACCAGCCATTGACACTGGGAAAAGAACCTGTGCTTAGACAAGGCAGCAGAGGGATTTATTTCCTTAAACTTTTTTATTATGTTTTAAATTTCTCAAATTATTTGAGTTAAAATTTAAATTTTTTTTTCCTTAAAAGACTAGCTTTCCTCCTACCCCTCAACTACCCTTGCAACTCACAAACTCTTTTCACTCCACAAATGTTAGTTGAAACAGCTGAAGATAGGCAGACAGTGGGTTGCTTCACTGGGAGTCGCAGGTTTGTGGGGGGGGCGGGGGCAGCAAGGCTGATGTTAGCTCTGATTAAACTATGGGAATGGTAAAGGAAAACAAACCTTCCACCCTCCTTACTTTTGACAGTGTGGAGGTAAGAGTTAGGAACTGTCTGTGTTACTCTGTTTTATGCTGCTGTAACAGAATACTACAGACTGTGTAATTTATAAGCAATAGAAGTTTATTTCTCACGGATCTGGAGGCTGGAAAGTCCAAGATCAGGGAGCCGGCATCTGCTGAGGGCCTTCTTGCTGTGTCATAACATGGCAGAAGCCATCACATGGGTGTGAAAGCAGATAGCACAAGGGTGGGGGTAGGGAAGAGGGGGCTGAACTCATCCTTGTGTATCAAGCCCACTTCTGTAGTAATGGCATTAATCCATTCACCAGGGCAGAGCCCTCATGGCCTAATTTCGTCTGATTAGGCCCCACTTGCCAACACTGTTGCATTGAGGATTAAGTTTCCAACATATGCATTTGGGGGCACATATTCAAACCATAGCACTGTCTGATTTTTGTCCATGGTGTACATCGTTAGTGGATGTGGACTGCTTGTGGAAAGAGAAGATTCTTAGGTCACATTGCCATAGTCCACCATGATGGGTTCCTTACTGGATCTGGTTACAGCCAGACTCATCTGAGCCATAATTAGTGATTTTAAAATATGTAATAGCTCACTGAGAATAGAACCTCCTCCAACTGCCCTTCTCAAAAATACATATATATAAATATATGTGAAAATACACATATTACATACATATATGTATATGTGTATATAGTTTGACTTTCAGTCATTTGACTTTCAAATGTTTTTAGGAACTTATATTGTTTCTCTCTACCCGTAGGTTCTTGGAGTACTAAGTCAAGATGGTATTATGAGATTTGTCAATATACAAACTTGTAAACTTCTCTTTGAAATTGGGAGCCTTGATGAAGGAATTAGCTCCTCAGTAATTAGCCCACATGGACGGTACATTGCATCTATTATGGAAAATGGAAGTCTAAATATATATTCAGTTCAGGCTTTAACACAAGAAATAAATAAGGTATGTAATCAAGTAATCAACATTAGTTTTTTAAAAACAAATATTATATCATCAAGAATAAAATCTTTATGCTACTATTTTCTAACTTTCTTGGAACTTACCCAGTTTTCTGGATATATTTTTTTGCTCTTACTCCCAAAGCCACATCTCCAGTCTTGATTTCTCACCTACTCTCCATTCTTAAATTGCTGCCTTCTTAAAGGACATCTCTGTTTGGTGTCCTTGTCTCATTCACTGTGTCACTCATGAGCTCCTTCCCAAAAGAGGTCTTCAGTCCTGGTTTCGTCATTTGTCTTGCTCTTTCTTCCCATCTCATAGACTAGAAACCTTGAAGTCCTATTCCTTTATTTCCTAAATCTAGTCAATACTAATTCATATAATTTCTTAAATTTGGAATAGCTATATATGCGCTGCCTGTTCACCATCTCCCTAATGGCCATCCTTGTATTAGTCCTCATTAACTACTTTAAGTAACAGTAATTTAAACAAATATCCCAAACTCAGAGAACTCAGTGCCTGACCCTGCCCTTCATTCCATCTTTTATATAACATTTTTCTACAATAATGTTTTCATCATCATTTCTTAAATACTGTTACTTTAGTGGCTTCCTTCCTTTTTCCTGTTTAATTAAGTCCACACTCTTCTGCATGGCTGTCAGTATTCTCTGTAATCTTATCTACCTGTCTAACTTATTTCCCTATACTTTTAACTTCCTTAATTATCTGCCATAGATACCATTCTTATTTCTGCATCTGTCATCCATACTATTCATTTCATCTAAAATGCACGCCCTGCTTCTCTTATGGTTATCTAAACCCCCCTAGCTAAAAAGTCATATTGTCTCTGTGTAGCCTTCCCAGTCTGGAATTGTACTCTGGTGGCACTAACAAGGACTTTGGTGATCACTCTTTCAATTTAGAGAGGAAGACGTTTGTGCCCCACCTTCATCACACAGCAAAGGACTAAGCAGGTCCAGGTGTTCTGATTCCTAATACAGTGTTCTTTTTTTATGTGCTTTCTCTATTTTTCCTAATTACACAGCACTAAGTGTCTCATTGCAGAAAAAATCAAAAGATAGGGATAAGCAAATAGAGAAATACAAATCACTCAAAGTCTCACTATTCTCAGATGATTTTGATAGATGTTTTCTTAATGTTTTTTCTCTGTGTGTAAATGTATATAGTCACTCCTCATTATTTGTGGATTCTGCATATGAGAATTTGCCTACTCTCTATATAAAGTTTATTTGTAGTTCCAAAATCAATGCTTTCAGTGCTTGCATGGTCATTCACAGGCATGCACGGAGCCATGAAAATTTTGTTGCCTAATGTCCTTGTTCCCAGCTAAAGTTGAACAAGGCAATACTTTGCCTTCTTGTTTCAGCTTTTATGGTACAAACAGGTATCCTTTTTGTGGTCTATTTAATGCCATGTTTTTTGCATTTGGGGTTTTTTTGTGTGTGATTTCACTATTTAAAGTGGCTCCCAAGCATAGTGCTGAAGTGGTATCTAATGTTCCTAAGCACAGGAAGGCTGTGATGAGACTTACAGAGAAAATACATGAATGTGTTAGATAAACTCATTCAGGAATGAGTTACAGTTCTGTAGGCTGTGAGTTCAATGATAGTGAATCAATGTATATTAAATAAGGTGTCTTTAAACAGAAACACGCATAAAACAAGGTTATGTATTGATCGGTTGATGAAAATCTTGTGACTTGGGGCTCTAAGGAACCTAACTCTGTATTTCCCCTAGGAGCAATGATTTAGCGTTCACTAACTGAGTGTTCAGGGTGACTTTATAGAACTACTGCAAATAACGAGAATCAACTATATATGTGTTTTTGTGTATGCATGTGTATGCATACATTTTCTCTAAACATATGGGATTATACTGTGCTGCTATTGTTTATATTATTATATATTTATATGTGCTATATAATTATATATGCTTGTATGTTTTATCTATTAATAAAAATTTATTAATATATTATTATCTGCTCTTAATGAGTTTTTGACCTCTTCAGTAGTCAATTTTAGCTAACTATTCAGAAGCTAAACCTTCTGAATAGAGGCAGGGAGAGATCTGAGGAAAAACCATGGCAGGAGTGAGTCATTGAGTTCCTCTGTGCTATTTGTTGAACAAGTTGAGATCACATTGAACTGAAAAGCTAGCTTGGAAATAGATCTTTTTTACTTTTTGGACACATCACCAGCATCATCAGTGTCTTTACGGCTGTTCCAGGCTATAGAAATGTTCAGCTCTCTATTTTCTATAAATCTTAACTAACCTGTGTCCCATTTTTCCTAAGCTTTATTTTCTTTTTTTTTTTTTTTGAGACAGAGTCTCACTGTGTTGCCCAGGCTAGAGTGCCGTGGCATCATCCTTGCTCACAGCAAACAACCTCAAACTCCTGGGCTCAAGTGATCCTCCTGCCTCAGCCTCCCGAGTAGCTGGGACTACAGGCATGTGCCACCATACCTGGCTAATTTTTTCTATATATTTTTAGTTGTCCAATTAATTTCTTTCTATTTTTAGTAGAGACGGGGTCTCGCTCTTGCTCAGGCTGGTTTCAAACTCCTGAGCTCAAACAATCCGCCCGCCTCGGCCTCCCAGAGAGCTAGGATTACAGGCGTGAGCCACCGCGCCCAGCCTATTTTCTTATCTTTGGAGAATTGCTGGTATCATTCTAATAAAGTAAATGAATTCTTATGTGTTGAAGTTTTAATTTTAACATTACAAAGGTATTTCAAATCAAGTCACATTGCAGAATCTAACTTTTGGGAGATTGTGCTGCATGGTAGAGAATGAGATTCAAGCAGGGGAAAATGTGACATTAGAATAGAAATTTTAATAAAAATTTAGAAGAATAGATGAAGGCAGATAGAAAATAGTTGAAGGATATTAACGATGGGTAATATTCAGAAGTCAGGCCACTATTAATTCCATCCCATAGATGAAGAATTGAACCATACACTATAAATGGTCATGGTGCTTTAACTGTATTTAGAATTCAGAAAGCCCAAGTTACCTTATCTGATCATTTCCTTTTATTAAGAAAAATCTGTTGATTTCAAAGATAATATCTATGGATAAAGTGTTCTAGTGAGTCATTTTACCTTAAGTGAATTGAAGTTTTGGGTTTTTTTTTTTCCCCCTTTTTGATAGGCCCCACGAAAATGAGGGTTTGGATTCTAAGTCATGCTTTCTGAACTGCTTTTTAAGCTGTTGATGCAGTAAGGAACTATTAATAATAGCTATCATTATACAGATTAAAACACTGAACTAAGGGGACAGAGAGACAGGGGTCTCATGCTTCCAGAGTAAAGTCACTGGGGAGTTTCCTCTCCCTCAGAAATTTCACTCGAGCGTGAAAAATATTAGAGTGCTTCTCTCAGCATTCTAGAGGGCCACACCTCTAACTGTGCCTTCTCTGCTGTAGATGATTGCCACGCTACTAACTTTATCATGCAAGTGTGAAAATGGTTTGGTATTATATGATTTAAGGCTAGCTTTCAAGGAATAATTAAATTCTATTTATTGCTGTTAATCATGTACCTTTATTATGTTTTCAAAAGAATTTGGTAGAAATTTGCTTTGATTTATTAGTTAACCAGAAAACATTCTTAGACATTTGACTTACGTGTTTTGCCTGAAGAATAATTATACATATTAAAGCATGTTGTTAATCAGAGCAAATTTTGAAAAACATAAACAGGCCTATTTTCTAAGGATAGCCACTGAAATATATATATATATATATTATTTATTCATTTATTTTTCCTTTTAGCCACCTCCTCCTTTAGTGAAAGTGATTGAAGATTTTCCCAAGAATAAACTGAGTTCCGCTGATCTCAAGATGAAGGTAACATCAGGAAGAGTACAGCAGCCAGCAAAATCCAGGGAAAGCAAAATACAAACTAGAATATTAAAACAAGACCTGACTGGTAATTTTGAAAGTAAAGAGGTAAGAATATATGATAATTAAATTTGTCTTTGCCATGATTCTGCTGTAGACAAGTCTTGTGATTATTATATAGCCATCATTACTCTTCCCTCTTTTGTGGAAAAAAAAAAGAGAGAGAGAGAGAGGCTTCATTGGCAGCAGGTATCTTGGTGATGACAGCAATCAACATGTCTCTTACCTGGATCATTTTGCTCTAGTCTGGGCTAGTTGCCCTCTATATGTGGTATGTGGCACTCAAATGGGAATCTTCATTCACCATCATCTTGAGTTTTCCCAATCTAATCACGCTGTATTACCTATTTCTTTTGGTAAATAGAATACTAACCTAAGTCAGAAAATCTAGCTTCGGGTCTTGAGCCAAGATTTAGCAGGTTTGTCACTGAACAATTCACTCAACTTCTCTGATCTTCCCATTTTCTTTTCTTTTTCTTGAGACAGAGTCTTGCTCTGTCGCCCTGGCTAGAGTGCAATGGCATCATCATAGCTCACTGCAACTTCAAATTCCTGGGCTCAAGCAATCCTCCTGCCTTAGCCTCCCCCAGCAGCTGAAACTACAGATATGCACCACCATGCTCAGCTAATTTTTTCTAATTTTAGTAGAGACAGGGTCTCACCTTTGCTCAGGCTGGTCTCGAACTCCTGGGCTCAAGGGATCTCCTGCCTCGGCCTCCAAGAGTGTTAGGATTACAGGTATGAGCCCACCGTACCTGGCCTGACCTTCCCGTTTTCTAAAATAAAGGAAGACAACATTTCATCTGTTTCACAAAGTTCTTAGGATCAAATTGAGATAATCTACAAAAATGGCTTTTTAATCCTAAAACCTATAAAATATAATTTTTCCATTAAGATAAAAATTGACTTGAAAGTTTTAGGTATAAGAGACTGTCAGCAGAAGCTGATGTCTGTTAGTGTTGTCTAAGATAAAATGGTGAAGTAGATACGTTTTTCTACCAGACTTGTCCTTGATACTTTCATGCCAGGAGTTGTTCAGAATTTTAAGAAAAAGGAAGGGGTAAGCAGGGGTGGGGAGGTGGGAAACATCAGAATGCGTTGCACTTGATGCAAATGGCAGTCCATGTGCTCAATCCAGCTTCTCAAGCTAAGACTGGCTTTCATGTTTTTAAACGGTTACATCTTAAGTGGTTATATACCTACGTAATATTCTCCATTTTTCCTTTTGGCCCACAAAGCCTAAAATATTTACTAACTGGCCCTTTACAGAAAAAGTTTGCCAAACCCTAGTCTAGGAAGGTAATATGTCATGAATTTTATTTGCTATGTATATACATGCACACTCAAGAAAGGGAGAATAAGAGAGAAGAGAGTCCCATAATATGAAAACACTTCTTACTGTGTGTTGAGTTCTAAAGTTGGAAAGCCACTGGGGACTAGATTACCATTTGTCGTCTTTATAGTTAATGATTATGTCACTTATTGTGATACTATCTTTGTCTTTATAGAATGAATTGTCAGATGGATTAAACAAAAAGCGTTTACAAATCTTATTAAAAGGCTATGGTGAATATCCAACAAAATACAGGTAAAATTTAAATTCTTTTATGTTAAATCAATTTTACTCAAAATTTTTTTTTGGTTAAAATTATATTTTAATTTCAGAATGTTCATTTGGCGCTCTCTGCTACAACTGCCTGAAAATCATACTGCATTCAGTAGCCTCATAGACAAGGGTACTCATGTGGCATTTCTCAACCTTCAGAAGAAATACCCCATCAAAAGCAGGAAACTACTCAGAGTATTACAGAGGTATGTTCAGTATATTGCAGCAGTGTGTATGCAACCTGTAACTAATAATTGCAATGTTTTAAAATCCTCTGCTTAACAAAATATCATTTGGTCATTTCTAATCATCCTTGTGTGATACGTTGGTTTGTTTAATTTAAAAACAAAACTTATGTATATATTACATATGACTATTAGTTTGTATTGTGTTCTGGAAAATAGGAATCTTTCAGATAAATCTAAAAGAACAAAGAAACATAGCAGATAGAGCTTTGAATTTGAAGGCAAAAGACCTACTTTTGAATCCTTTTTCTACCACTTAATAATCGTGGTGTAAGTCATTCCATTTTACTTCTCTTAGCCTTAATTTCTTGATTTAAAAGTGGTGGTAGTAACACCAACATCATAAGATTATTGGGACAATCAGATAAGAATCTCTCTTACAATGGTCGTGTTAGAGTACAATTCATAGTAAGCACCCAGTAAATGTTAATAATAATAATAGCTAACCCTTAAAGTGCCTTTCATGTGCTAAGCACTACTAAATATACTTCTTACTTATTTTACACTTAAAGAAACTGAGGCGTAGAGAGGTTAGCTGATAAGATCAAGTCACACAAGTGGTAGAGCTGGGAGCCCAGGCTCCAGAGTCTAAGCCTTTTTTAAAATAAAGTTTTTATTATGAAAAATTTCAAGCATAAATAAAAATAGAATAATATAATGAATATCCTCATGTCCATCACTCAGCTTCAACAATTGCCAACTCATGGCCGATCTTGTTGCATTGATATTCACACTCACTCTACACCCCAAATCCCAACACACACATACCCTGCTAAATATTTACTTAAGTATTTCTAAAGGATAGTGACTCCTTTTCTTTAACATAAACACACTACCATTGTCACACACAAAAAGAATTGACAATAATTCTTCAATATCCTCAAATATCCAATCAGCATTCATATTTCTCTAATTATCTTAAAAATTTTTGTTATGGTAAACTTGTTAAAATCAGGGTCCAGACAAAGTGCACACATTGCATTTGGTTGATATCCCTCTCCATCTTTTTTTCCATACAATGTATTTGTTGAAGAAACCAGGCCATCTAACTTATACCGTCTTTCATATTCTGGTTTGCTAATTGTATTCCCATGGTATTGTAACATGTTTCTCTTGCTCCTGACTTTACTATAAACTGATAATTAGAGCTAGGGACTTGATTTGATTCAAGGTTTTTATTTTACCCTCTTTGGTATTTGTTTCTTTGTTTTGCAAGAAAGTTTCATAGGTGGTTTTATGTACTTCTGCTAGGAAGTTTATGATACCTGGTTGTCTCTTTTGGTGATGTTACTGGCCATTGATGATTATTGCCTAGATTCACTATTTCTCCAGAGATTTACAAAACAGTGATAATATAATTTATCATTCCTTCTTCTTTTATGAACTAGAAAATTTCTATAAAGAAAAACTTCCTGTTATCAACTCTCGGGTTATCCTAAGATACAACTCATATAGGAAAGGCAAGTTAAATGCTCAGTACCTTTTTTAAAAAATTTATTTACCAGTTTTCAGAATAGTAAATTGATTACCCTGGAGTCCCCCAAAGTGATCAGTGTATTCATTATGAATTCATAGATTTAAATATATAGGACTTTTCAGTGGATAGAGCTAGGTTTATACTGATACTTTCAATTCAAATTTAGAACTACAAAGTGTGTGTATTGCTTTTTTGTTTTTATATTTTTATCTTTTCTCTTATGCTAAGAATCTTGATTCTTAACAGTGTTGACATAATTCCTTAATTTTTTTACACACATGCACACAATGGTTTTAAATGCCATATATGCATGCTATATAATAAAAACTATGTAACTATAAATAATAACAAAATGACTATTATATCTCACGTTACGATTATTGAAAACAATTCAAAATATTTTTTGTAGTTTTTTGTCCTTAGGTTATATCCCATTAGACATGTACAATCAAATTATTGTTTTAAAGTGACTTGAAATAATTTCATATGGTAACACCTCTAACTCACTACACAGGTTAGTTTGTTTTATTTGTTTTCAGTTTTTTGAAATTTTTTTATATTTAATTTTTATTTTGTGTTATACTTTCATGAGACATTTACATGTTTCTAAATCAAATCTATAAAATAAGGTATATTTAGAACAGGCTGGCTTCTATTTTCTCCGTTCTGTTACCGCTCTTCCCCATAAGTAATCCTTTTAATAAAAGTTATCTTATTTGTATGTGCAACTGTATTTGTCTTCTTCCTTCCTTAAGTAAATGGTTGTATACTATTATAGTTTTCTGTACCCTGATTTTTAAATTTAATATGTGGCTATCATTTCAAAGCAATGTAAAATATTCCTCTTTTCTTTTTTATAGTTGTGCTTTGTTGTGCAAATGCACTGTAATTTATTTGGCCATTCCTCCATTAATGAACATTTAAACTGTTTCCAGTCTTTTGCTGTTATAAGCATTCTGCATTAGTTAGCTTTGTCCATAAGTCTTTTTTTTTTTTTTTTTTTTTTAATGGAGGTGGTCACTCTATTGCCCAGGCTGGAGTACAGTGGCACAATCATAGTTCACTGCAGCCTCGAATTCCTGGGCCCAAGGCATCCTCCTGCCTCAGCCTCCCGAGTAGCTAGGACTATAGGTATGCACCACCATGCCTGGCTAATTTTTATTTTTTTAA